TTTTTGTGACGAAATGAAAAGGATTGTTTTCCAATTTTCTATAATGTCTGGAACGGAAGTTGGACACGGTTTTGAGTGGATTAATAATAATTAAATAGGTGGTTTTTCACGTTTTCTTGGAGGTTAACATCAACAAGACAAATCAAATGCTCTGCGTATGAGAGAGAGAGAGAGAGAGAGAGAGAGAGAGAGAGAGAGACGTGCAAACGTGTATTGTGAAAATCAAACAGATAATGAGGGCATTTTAGATGTAGATCTTTGGGTGTGCATTTTTTAAATAAATAAAGTAAAAAAAACTCAGATGAGTTCAATAACTCGAGAACTGTATTTTTATTTTTTATTTTTTTGGTATGGTTTGATGAAAAACTGAAAGTGAAGATAAAAATGTTTGTGTAGGGTGCAAAAAAGGAATTTAATTTCAATAATATATGTTGGCATCAAGATTTTGCGAGCAAGATTATGGGAGTGCTTTGACTATTTTTTTTATTTTTTTTTTGTAGCCAACTACGATATCTGGAACTATGCCCCGACTAATCGGTTGGTCGACCCAGGTCGTACACCTGACAGTGGTGGGTGAATTTTCCAACAAGGGTTTTTTGCATCCACAAAGATGCGAACTCGAAATTTTGTTTAAGCGACATAAAACTGCTTAGCACTTGAGCCAATTTCTTTGTTGATGTGCTTTGACTATTTCAATAGTACTATGTTTGAGGATGTGCGTAGAACCGTTCATAATATTCTAAATTCTAAAAATTTGAGTGACTAGAAAAATAATTTCCATGAAACCCATGGGTTTGATATAAAATATATGAAATTGTGTTCTCTAGAATAGATAGGTTTAGTGTTAAATATTAGTCACTTAACCCATAGTTGATTCAATTATTTGATAGCCCATAGTTGATTTAACTAGCTGACACCATAAAGTTAATTTAGATATCAGATTTTAATTGTCTAATTAGATTAGCAAAATAATTAGATTTTTCATATGTAAAAATAAATAAAATTACAATTCTTATATTCCAAAAAAAAAAAAAAATATTCTTTAAGAGCCTTTTTCAAAATTAATTGTCTTGAGTTCATAATAAAGCTATTTGGAATAGCTACTTACCAGCTACTAAATAATAAAACCTCTTATTTATTCTCAAATCTCTAATTTGGCTCAAATATGTCTATGTGAAGTGTTTGAAGTATAGTTAAACATGTCCACGGGCCGACGTCGTCCCGGCCCGACCCGCAGGTTGCTGGTTCTGAGAACCGACATCATTGCTTTACGAGTTGCGGGTCCTTTTTCTTTTTGTCCCGGGACAGGGCCGGTTCGACGGATCGGCCCTTGGTGTTTGGCGGGCCGGTCAAAGGTCACCCATGGGAGCCCGCCGGCCCGCTCCGTTGACGGTCCATGTCTAAGTATTAGTCATAAGGTCGTTAAGCAATATTAGGGTATAGATATCTAAAGGCATATGTAGTGTTGTGCCAATATTTCACCTATCAACTTCTAAAATTGGAAAATTTTAATTGATGCAACCCAGCTAAGGATTAACCGAACAAACATTTGAAAATCAAAATTAAAAAATAAGTAAAATAAACAGGAATGGTCCAACAATTCTATTTTCATACGTTACACAAAAAAATAAAAAAATAAATAAAAAAAATAAAAAAAATTAATTGTTATGACAAAGATGTATATGAATACTATCAATTATCACACTTATGTTTCTATATTTTTTTTATTTATTGTATGATTTTTTTAATAATATACATACTAGTACAACTCTCGTGTATTACACGGGTGCGTGCTAATTTTTTTTTTTTAAATCTAAAATTAATGAAAAAAAATAGTTAAAAATTTAAATACCTTTTATAAAAATATATATTATTATATATTTAGTATGACACTTTTTATTTGTACGATTTACCTGTGTTATATTATAATAAATTTTTTAACTTACAACATATAACTACATTAAACATAAATATATCAATTGAGAGAAAATTTTATTTTTCTAATGAATTTTAATAAATATAATTATTTTTTATTATTATAAATATAAGTATAATTTATTTATTTCAATATATGCAATATGAATGTCAAATCGAAGATCATCAAAAAATGATTAATTTGATATATTATATATGTAAAACCGATAAGAAATACAAAAGTTATCAACTTTTAAAATACATTTATAATTCAATAGCTAATTGAAGGAAACAAATCAAAAGTAGGGATATATTAGTCACTTAGTGTCTCACTATGTAAAATTACAAGGAATTAAAGGGTTATATTAGTACAAGTGATATTAAAATACTTAAGTTAGCTAAATAAAATTTATGGAATGTCCAAACCTAGATTATTAATTATTAATATATCAATATTATTTGTCCAAACCTAATTACGAAGCATGATTCTTCGCCAAATAGGATTCCGAAGCACCAGAAGCAGCCACGTAGGCTCAGCGCATTCGAGAATTATATATAGGGTGGATTTGTAAAAGACGTATGTGCCTATGATTATATCAGCAGTCATAAAAATGATATTTATCATTTTCATAGTTTCGAGATAAAGATTTATGTAGTTCTCCTTATCACCGATATTTATAGTATTCTCACTTCAAAATTTTATCACATCAACACAAGTAGACAACATAGCTCGCAATAAATTCTTAAGCGGTAGCACAAAATTGCATTTTCTATATATTTCACAATTATCAACACATTTTTCTTCCTCTAAAAAAAAAGTATTGGAATGAAATTAATACAAAAAAAAAGGAATTAAATCAAATTATTGTTGTTAAATTTTCTTATTTGATATTTTATTAAAAAAAAATGGAATTAAATCAAAGTATACAACAAAAGGATGACATAATCAATGAAAACAATATAACCTTTAGGTCCCATTATTATTTTTCTTATTTGATTTGATATTTTATTCAGAAAATTTAAAAAAAACACCTTTTTAGCAGATACGAAAGATGTCATATCCTTTTCAATACATACTATATTATTTTGTCCCAATTAAATATTCAGAAATATTCACTGAAATATTAGCCACTCAAATAAATTCGCTTCACAAACGATACATCGTGTAAACGAGCCGACCCGAACTTATGGCCTTAACAAGCTGAGTAACTAGACGAATTAATAATCGAGCTCGGTTTTAACCTCGACCTGTTCATCAATATTAACGAGCCAAGCTTGAACCTTAAATAACTCAAACTACAGAAAATTCCATAAAAAAAAATCGAATGAACCGAACCATTCAGCCAAGTCAGGTTGTTAAAGAATCGGGCTTTAGACGAAGCCGAGCTTAGAAGTGACTCGTTTCATCTAATAACTCTGCATTAATCATCATACACTGTTTAAATATCATTTTTAACTTTGATTTTCTTTAGTTCCAAATGCTAATCATTTTAAATTATTTTTTTTGAAAATATATATAGTATCAAAGATTTTAAAAGAATGAAAAGAAAATAATAACTGATAAGAGCATCTCTAATGGACTTTCAATTGCAGAAATGTAGAAGAATTTCAATAAAAAATGTCTCCAACCCTCAATGTCTAGATGCTAATCATAATTACGTGGCTAGAGAGAAGGAATAAAATCTAACACTCTGTTTACATTTGGAACTCTTTCTGGACGTGCTCCCACTAACCTTTTTTTTTTAATTAAAAACATCAAATTTGTTGAGAAAATTTTGTTAGTTTTTTTTTTTTTTAATATACAAAAGATATAGATAGCGTGGAGATGGATATAACCACTGGAGAAATTTTTGTGGCATTGAACTCCTACTCATTTTACGTGGATGGAAGACCTTTATTTAATTGCCACATACCCTCCAATTCACATTCATGGTTGGAGATGCTCTAACATATAAAAAGACAAGACAGTAAAACTAGTTAAAGTATATTTGATAAAGAAGATTATTATTAACAAATTATTATATGATATATAATTTAAAAAAGATTTGATACAGCTTGTTGATTTTATTTATTTTTTTATTCTTTGCTACAATATTTATTTGTAAATAGAGGGAATTAAAATTATTTCATGACCAAAGTTTTGGGTTTCCATAGAAACTTCCCAAGGTCAAACTGTACCAAGATTGGACACCAATAAAAGTGGTTTGGTAAGCTATTTCGAATAATTTGATACAAGTTCACGTCATACGTTAAAATTTGACATAGTTTTCCAATTTTCCATAATTCGATTATGTCCTTTTTTTTTCTTTGGGTAGTCGGTCACGGTATTTTGGAGCTATGTTTTGACTAATCCGTTAGTCGACCCGGGTCGCACACCTGACAGTAGTGGGTGAGTCTTTCAACAAGGGTGTTCTGCATTCACAAGGACTCGAACCTGAGACCTTACTTAAGCGATATCATGTTGCTTACCATTTGAGTCAACCTCTATTGATATTATGTCCTATTTTTAGTTGCTACATTTAGGGCAATAGCTAGCGCTAATTTAGGGCTGTAATAAAATTAAAGTCTTTTAAATATTTGATTTGTGATATAGCTGGGCCGATATAAAATTCTAAGAATTTTAGTAATTTTTTTTTTTTTTTTCTCAAACATCAAATTTAATCACCACACCTCGAAAGTACAAATCAATAATTAACGCATTACAACAAGCCTTACTAGCCTAGACTAGAAAGAAAATCAAACTGAAGAAAGCACAACAAGTACTCTACTACACGACCCACACTGGTCCAAATGGCCAAAACCAACAAAAACACCCACACCTACGAAAAATCAACCCTGACCATGGGTTGAGACCGTTGGGAAGGAAAGGTGTGGGAAGGGAAAAGATCAGTGTTCTAAAAGTTGCTAGGCGCCCGCTAGGCGCTCGACCAACGCCTAGCGCCTAGAGCGCCTAAGCAGGGCCTAGGCGGCGCCTCTACAAATCAATATTAAATACCTTATTCTTTATTTATTTTGACTACCTACAAAATAAAATTATATCAAGCAATAATAAAGCAACACACCTAAGTTCAAATAATAAAATAAATATATTTTAAAGAAAACATTAGAACAAAATAATGTAATTAGTATTTAAAAAAATAAAAAATAAATAAATAAAAAACTGAAAAATTGGCGCCGAGCCCGCGTAGGCGCCGCCTAACCGCCTCGCCGCCGAGCCCGCCTAGGAGCGCCTAGGGCTGCCTAAGCGTCTGGCCTATTTTTTCTGCGGATTTGTACAAATCGGAGGCGCTCGGGCACCGCCTAGCGCCGAGGCGGCTGCCTAGGCCGATTTTTAAAACAATGGAAAAGATGCCAATTTATCCACTAATCTACAAAAGAAGCATCAACTGTCGACCTCAGTTATAATCTGTTGAAAACCCAATTCCCAAGTCAATTGTAGCCCTTAAAACAGACCCTAAAGCTCGGGCCTCGTAATCAGAATTCGTATCGTCTTAGATTCCCGACCTCCTTAAAGCATTATTCTCTTTTGAGTAAGCAAGCTACCTTCAATCAAAGAGCCCGGGAAAAGCCCTAGTCAGAGAACCTAGCCAACAAGTGCACCACCTTCCTTTGTTGCTCGAAGACAGAGAGCAGCAAGTGAACTGCTACGGCTCATCTCCCCTTTTGAATTCCCCACTTCAATGCGCCAATCAATACGCTACACTGGTTGTCAGAAAGAGT